ATAAAATTTAAATAGTTACATGCTTAATCAATTGATCTGGTTAATATCCAGGTTATTGTACAACCAAAACATCTCATGAAGGCCTCTACAAAAACAGAGTCACCTATACAGGAGTAACTCCATGGTGATCGGATATGCCTAAGTAACTGGTTGGTTAACCATTTAATAATGTAATTCATATGTTGGCACAAGTAGTTTTCTAGTTTATATACAAACTAGACTTGTTATTTATACGCAAAAGGTGTATTGCTGCAGTTTCTTTCAAGCTTTCTTCTGCAGTTGTATATTGGAAAGCCAAAAAGATTTTTATCTATCTATATATGTGTGTGTGTGTATATATATATATATATATATGTATATATATATATATATGTATATATATATATGTATGTATGTATGTATGTATGTATTAGATCTTTTTTTTTAATAATTATGCCTCTTGTAAAGTGTTAATTTATCAAAATAAAACTCTTATCATTCTATATCAAAGTATATATTTTTTATATTTACCACATAACTTTCTTGTTTTTAAGTTCATTTTTATGAAGGCAAGAATAAATATCTGTAATACTTGGCAAGACATTCTGAGATTGAGAAGCATTATGATCAAAAGCAAGTAGAACTTATAATCTATATGCCAGAACTTGCCCCAAATGTCTTTCGAGGCGAAATCCTAGACAACACTGATTTTTGAAATATGAATTTAGGCTTTCTTTGTTTACCTCAGTCTTTTCTAGATATTGCACAAAAATTTACTACAAAATAAAATAAATCCCTAGCACCTATTTTGAAGCTTGAAGACCTAATTTTTTTCTTTTTATACCTCAATATGTCCAAATTTAAATATCACATTCATGCTTATAATTTGAAAAGTCCTTTTTCAGAAAATAAGTTTGGAGCTCATATTAAAAAGGAATCAGAATTAAAGAAAAAAAACAGAAAGGAGAGATTGATCTTATGTTCAAACATTATATGTACACAAAAAAAGAATCAAAATCAATAGCAAATATTTGGAAAGTCTGATCTTAGAAATATTCTACACCAAAACTGAAAAAGGCAAGTCACTACAAATATAACCTTTAACCTACCAGCCTGAAGCCAACATTACAAGCCAGAAAAAGTCCTAAAAGATTTTAGAAATCAGTGTTTATTCTATATTAGTGGAGATAGACATAAAGGGCAAGCCTATGGACAAAAGATGAAGAATACTCAATGCAAATGATCATAAAGTTATCAATTTCACAGAAGCTAGAAAAGAAAGAAGGTACAATTTTTGTTGAATAAAAATAAAAGTAAAAACAAGGTAATGATTTGATGAATATAGAAAATTTATAAAGTTTGAAAGCATGATAGATTTTATTTGATTAAATTTTTATTTTACAAGATTCGCCATGATTTAAAAAAAACAAATATAGTAACATATCTTTTTCAAAATTCTTTTCCTCGAGGACGAGCAAAAATTCAAGTGTGGGGGTATTTGATGGATATAAATTATTCATATATTTTAATACAAAAATATAATATTTTAGATATAAAACATGACCAATTTATATCCTATTCTCGCGCTTTTCTAACAATTCGTGCAGAAAAAGAATACATCGAAAAAGAGAAAAAGAAAGATCTACGGTTCAAGGAAGAAGGATGCATCCGTGACAACTTCATCTAAGACTTTATGAAATCAAGAGATACAAAAGTTATGGCAAATTCTCACCAAAATTTCATGACAAATTGCCATGTCAATTTCTCATCAAGGCCATATGATATATTAATATTATATTGTAATTTCTCACCAAGGCCTTATAGGAATTTTCCTATAAATAGCCATATGTTTGTTGATGAAAAGGCATCCCACTTTGTATCCAATTTCCTATCTAGTTTTTTCCTAAGTTTCTAAAGAGAAAGAGAAGAGTAATCTCAGTCTCTTCCTCTAGTCTTTCTCTTTGTAGTAAAAATATTCTTAGTC